ACAGGCTCTCGAGAAAGCAGTTGAGCAACATGCTCCATAAGTTTTCTATGGGGTTGAGGTCAGGAGATTGGGGCGGCCATGTCATAACACTCACCTGCTTCTCATCAAAGTATTCCTTCATCAATTTTTATTTGTAACAGGGAGCATTATCCTACATAAAAATGAGCTTGGTGGGGTCGATTTGCACCCTTTCAGCAGAAGGGAGCAGACAAGACTCTAAAATTCTCTTGGACTGCTCGCTCTTGAGGGTTTTTTCAATAGGTTTTAAGAAACCAGTTCCATGAAAAGAAAAGCATCCCCAGAACATTATACTGAACGGATGCTTGACAGTACTTACTGCTAAATTCAAAGAGCTTTCAAAGCTTCTTTGGATTTTAGATCGCTTATCTTTTGAATTTAGCTCAACTTTCGTTTCATCGGAGAAGAGAAGATTTAGTAAAAAAATCAGGTAAGTCACTTTTATCGAAGAGCACTGTATATATATATATATATATATATATATATATATATATATATATATATATATATTACTGACAAATAATATACTGCGAACAAATGAATCTTTCTTAGTGCGTTTGTGTCGAAACAGCAAAAAAAAATAGCCAGGAATATATTCCTATTCACTTCAGCTCGACACAAATCTTTTGTCGACGACATAAAAGCGTAGAATTGTTTTTGGAAATTAATTCTTGGATTTGTGCTAATTCACTCCAAATAATGTAGAGTTACTTATTGCAAATATTAATTCACCCCAAGAATTTATAAATCACCTTCCTTTGTTTTTGTTTTTGTTTTTTTTTAATTTTTGGCAGTCTTTTGAAATTATAAATTTTAAATCAAATTATTTAGCTTGCCTCGCAACAACTCCATCAATCAGAATAAAAAATTACCAAAATTCACATTTCGTAAGGGCGGATGATGTTCGAGATATTTACAAGGAATGTTTTAAAATTTAAAAGAAAAAAAATCTGTTTGGGTTGTCTATCGGTGTGAGCGAATGCAGACCTCACATTCAAAAATAGCGCAACCTAGTCGATTGCAAAGGTCAACCAAACGGGGTTGCAATGATAGGGCCTCGCTCTGGAGAAATTTGATGTGACTTTAGTAAATATAAATTTTGGGGGAGAATTAACAGAAAAGATCCTAATTCTTTTGACATGACTTGAATAAACAAACTATGAAGCTCTTATTTGAATGTTTCTTAATTTTAACCTTTTTATTATTCCATATAAGATTTTCTGCAGACATTAAGAGATAACCTGAGAAATATAATGCGTAAAGGTAATAATTCTAAATTAAGGCTTATTAACTTAGCGCTCGCCTATTGCGAGACATATGATCTGAAAAGTAAACAGTTCCTTTTGCTGTTAAGTAGCGCTGGACGAATTTAGACACATTTTGAACACTGAAGCGTACATCTCTATTGCTGTAAAACGAAATACCCGAGCAATTCCTCGATCTTCTTTTATATGCCCTGCCTCTTCAGGACGTTGGCGATCATGCCTCTTGACAATTTCTTGTCTTTTGTAACCCTTAGCAAATTTTGCCTTTTTGCAATCTCTCTTAAACCCTGATCTACCATCAATTTACAAAAGCCTGTGAGGACATCGACGTGGTGTAATGGTTAACAACCTTGTCTCGCTAGATCTGTTACGTCTGAAGAGTTCGATCTTCACCCAGTAAAGATCGAACACTTTCAGCCATGTGAGACATCTCAGCTACGCTTAGAAACTCACCCTTTAAACAAGCTCACTAGATAGGTTGTCCGATGTTTTTCTCTGTCTCTCTTGTCTTGCCTACGGTATGTCCTGGGTGTGTCAACGTTTCCAAGCCTTCTTTCCTCTTTAGGCGCCCTAAAAATGACCGCTCTTTCTGGTGTCAAGTATAAATGTCTTTTTTGTTACCATTTTCTCGTCATGACGCAATTCCAGCACGCAACTAATATCACTAGATATTAGGTTGAGTCATATAAAAATTTTCTGTTTTTGCTTATCAACTTTATTCTTTTAAGAAATAGTGTACATTTTTAATCCATTTATTATTTGCAATGACTCCGGGTATTAGTGATTATTAATGATTATTAAGGGTATTAATGGGGTGGGAATTAATGACATGAAATTAGAATGCATAAAATGAACAACTATAAAAGACACGTATTGACATAAATAGCAAGTATTTGTATTTTCTTTTTGTGATGTACAGAATATTGGTATGGTATGTGTAAAAGTGTTCTCAGTGTCTCTTTTGAGCAGAAATCAGTTCTTACTTGGTTTGGTTCCGAGAATTTCGTTTGTGAGGATGCGTTTGAAATCGTCTGTTTTCGATCTTCCGGAATGCTAGTAGACGTGTGTTTCTACTGACTACTTGTCTACTAGTCTAGTGACTACTGTTATAGGGTACCCTAGTCTACTCTACTGTTCTCTACTTTACTGACTCTCTTGTGGTGAAAGGGTCGTTTTTATAATGATGAGAGTTAGGATGATGAAATATCCTTCTTTTCTATCATCACTGATGACAAGGTTATTTTTAGAATGATGAAATATTATTCTGAACCATCACAACTTCTTGCCATTTATCAGACAGAATCATCGATAACTTGCGAGTAAAACTCCGTAGGTTTTGATGTCAAATCGTTTTTGACGAACTTTCGAATATCTGGTACCACAATTTCTGTAAGAACAGGCATAAATAAAGACTCTCGAATATATGGTTTTCCTTACAGAAAGTAGCCGTCGCCATCAAAGGATTTCGCAGCGATCTAAAAAGTTAATCGGTTCGTGCAAGGTCTGCTTCATACAGCGGCTGAAGTAGAACAGACCAGCCGATTAAAAAATTTTGCTCCTGCGTCATTCGCGCTGTGTACGGCTTTGAGTTGGTATAGAGAACTTTTTTTTTCTTTAATCCGCTGTGTAAGATTCCACTACCATACAAAACTAAGTTATTAGCATTTTACAAAGTTATTCGGGTGACAGAACTAATTTCAACTCGGAACCTCAAAAGGGTAATTTGCACTTCAAGCCCCGCACTCAATTTTTAATAAAAATTTTCCGAATAGTTCCATTTAGGTGTAAATGTACATGCTTAATTCGAAAATAACAAAGAAATTTTGATAAAATCTACCGTTTTGGAGTGATCGACAATAAAAGTTCGGACTCTTTCGCGTCGCGATGGGTGAAGTTGAAATGAATCCTGCAACCCAATTATTCGTAACCGCCACGTATGATTAGTTAGGATGATACATTCGTCACTATAATTGGTTCTCAAAAACGGAAATTAATTATGAAACAATCTAATTTTATTTTTACTTATTTATTTTTAGTTTCCGCTCAGCGGGAGGCTTTGCATAGCCAGGCAGCTGTTTGGTACTTTTGATTTTAAGAATTTAAGCGCAGTTAAAGATGGCAGCTAGGTCTCATATATTCGCTGTTGTTATTACTAGTTGTAAACTAATAGCTTCCTCTCCTACACTTCTTGCTTGTGGAACTTCCTAACGGCTCCTTGCATCAACTAATTCAAAAATTCCAATCTATCATCATCTTCTGTCTTCTCGAATCCTGTTATTTTCTTGTCCTCTCCATTTCTTTCTAATATAACTTCCTATTGTAAGATTATTTTTATAACACACACTCGTATTTAGTATAACGTAATTTTTTTTAAAAGTATTCTCTATATATAATGCTTGTATAGTTAGTATGAAGACTGACTCCAATACAACTGGTATTTACCCAATCCTCCGACAAAGAGGGATGTGGTTTTTATGTGGGTCGATTCTGAGACTGTAGGCTCAAGCAAAAATTATGCTTAGACTCCACCATACACGGGATTGTGGTTGTCTACCTCCCCAATTGAAACGGGTGGCAGAACTAATTTCAGCTCGGAACCTCAAAAGAGTAATTTGCAGTTCAAGCCCTGCTCTGTTTCTAATAAAAAATGGTTCCATTTAGGTGTAAATTTACATGCTTAATTCGAAAATGACAAAGAAATTTTGATAAATCTACCGTTTTGAAGTCATCGACAATAAAAATGTCGGACTCTTTCGCGTCGCGGTGGATGAAGTTGAAATTAATTCTGCACCCCAGTTATTCTTAACTGCCACGTATGATTAGTAATTAGGATGATACATTCGTCAATACAATTGTTTCTCCAAAACGGAAATTAATTATGAAACAATCTAATTTTATTTTTACTTATTTATTCTCAGTTTCCGCTCAGCGTGAGGTTCTACAAAGCCAGGCAGCTGTTTGCTTTCGATAGTCTTACAGGGATCTTCTTTTTTTTTATTATTACGAACGAATAATTCATTCAAACATTATTCATTATTCTTTTGAGCCAAATACAAGCGCCATCTGGAACAGTCATGTTGGTGATAATTTTTCTAATAAAATAAGCGTGCCGGTTCAAATACAAGTTCTGAGATTAATCTCTACGCACACGGACTGATTCAGTGGAAACAGTGTTAACAAGAACTGAGCAGTACTAAAAAATAAATAAACTAGACGAGATATCCCTAGACAATAGGGCGGAACGAGAATAATTGGCCCACGTAGATAAAGAGGTCTGTTCTATATTCCTTAAAGCTTACCTGGATCGACAGACACCTGAAGAAGACACCGACTGAAACGTCGTATAGTAACAGTAAAGTTAAGAGTATTAGTCTGAATGAATAATAATTTGAATAATAATAAATCCTCGTCACAAAAATTCAGTCGGAAATAATCATGCCATCTGAAGCGTATATTGTTGTTTTGTGATTGTTGTTCCCGGTTGCAACACAAAATACCCGAGCTTGAGCTGCTGCTGCTTCTTTATTTCATTCTTCTTTTTTCCTTTCTTGTTTTTTTCTTTCTTCTTCCTTTTTTCTTCTTTTTTCTTCTTTTTTCCTTTTTTTACTTCTTTTTTATTCTTCTTTCTTTCTTTTTTTTTTCTTTTTACGTTTTTTTTTTCTTCTTTTTCCGTTGATTTTCTTATTTTTCCTTTCTTCTTTTTCCTTCTCCTTTTAGCTTCCTTCCGCCTTTTTCCTTCATTTTCTTTTATTTTTTCTTCTTTTTCCTTCTTCTCCTTTATTCCTCCTTTTTCTTTCTTGTTCTTTTCTTTTTTCTTATTTTTCCTTCTTTTTTTCCTTTCTTCTTCTTTTACTTCTTTTTTCTTCTTCTTTCTTTCTTTTTCTTCTTTTTTCGTTGTTTTTCTTCTTTTTCCATTGTCTTTCTTATTTTTCCTTTCTCCTTTTTACTTCTCCTTTTTCCTTCCTTCCTCCTTTTTTCTTCTTTTCCTTTTCTTTTCTCTTCTTTTCCTTTCTTCTTCTTTTTCCTTTCTTCTTCTTTTTCCTTTCTTTTTCCTTTTTCCTTTCTTTTTCCTTTTTCCTTTCTTCTTCTTTTTCCTTTCTTTTTCCTTTTTCCTTCTTTTCTTTTTGCTTCTTTTTCTTATTTTCCTTTCTTCTTCTTCTTTTCCCCTCTTCTTCTTCTTCTTCTTTTTCTTCTTATTCTTCTTCTTCTTCCCTAAATGTACTTTTTAACACAAAATTTGCGGCACAAGCAAATTTTCATTCTTGAAATGCGACCCAGACAAAAAGTTTGACAACCTCTGCACTATACAAAGGAAATTCTTTTACTGGGTTTAAAAATCATGCATATACACAGATATTTTTTTCTGGAGGAATTAAAGTTCATGCCAAAAAATTCAGAAGTCGCCCTATACATGAAGTCCGCTTATACACAAGCATATACTGTACATTTTGGAACGAGACACTATTTAGACTGGTCTGCTCGTAAAAATCTTCGGGGGAATTTTTTCAAGACATAATTTTTGCAGAGTGGCATTCATGACACGTTCCTCAAGCGACAACATTTGTCTGAATTGCACAATATTGATTCTTTTTTTAGCCCAGCAAGAGTTGACATCTCATAAAAGCTAGCATCCTAACTAAATTGAATATGGTTTAGGGAGGCTGGAATCTGATTGATCATTACTACCGTGCGATGAGTTCGATTCCCACTGAGTGCTCCATACGAAACTTGACGTTAAATAATCCATCAAGGATTCACATGTCTAAAAATCAAACGCACCTATTAGGTTGGTGCAAAAATAATGACGTAATAATGTCGTTTTTTGATGTATTTTTTAACGTCAAAAAACGACATTATTACGTCATTATTTTTGCGCCAACCTAATAGTTAGGTGCGTTTGATTTTTAGGCATGTGAATCCTTGATGGATTATTTAACGTCGAGTTTCGTATGGAGCACTCAGTGGGAATCGAATTCATGGCACGGTAGTAATGATCAATCAGAGTAATCGTTAACGTGTTTAGTCTGACTGACTATTACTACTGAGTTGCTAGTTTTAGTCTCACTAAGTGCCACATACAAAATTCGACTTTAAAGAACCTAAGAAGTATTATTATGTCTTAAAATCAACTGACCTCGTTAATGTAAACATTATGCAAAAAATCTAACACCAATTCATTCTTATTGTCCTTTACCATCTGTCTTTTAAAAGACGCAAGCACGAGTGACTTACTTCAAATTGACAGCCTCTTCAAGCACGTATGAGCAGTAGGGTCACTGAATTCAGCTTTGCTACATACTGTCGTATTCTAAGGTTTGCTTTTGCTGTTTTTGTTTCCGGTTTCAATTCGTACAAGAGACAAACTCTCTAAATCCGCCATGATAATTTCACTCGTCCTTACGCCAGTCAAAATATTTCGAACGTTATCTTTTCTTTTCTTTTAATCATCTCACCACAAGCAAGGCAATAAAGCCACTAAGATCCAAGGAGTTACTTAGTGTTAGAGGATATGAGAAAGAAAAAAACACTATTAAGGAGAAAAAACAATAAAGTAACAGGAATTAAGAAGGCAGAAGATAACGATTGACATTGCATTTAAACTTATCCCTCCTGCATTCATTGGGCCCTATGAGTGTCAGATGTTCTAAGCCCTCTTTCCTCGTCATGTGCCCTAGACATTGCTCGAAAGTATCACTTCTGGTGTCTTATCAAGTGATGGTGTTGAATGTAGAACCTAAATTCTACATTCAACACCATCACTTGATAAGACACCAGAAGTGTTGAAACAAAATGGCTATTTTTGTAGTGATGTTATAACATGTTTATGTTATAATTTTTTAACATATATAGATATACGTTATTTTTATAGATACAAATATCTAAGTAAATGCTCTGTTTATAATAAACAGTATTAAACAACATTTACCGGCCTGAATGTCCGAGAAATCTCATAGAAAATATGTGTCCTCCAACAAGAATCGAACCTGTATCCTATCCGGAAGCGTCATATAGCCTGACGTACTATATCATTTAGCTACAGAGGAAGCGTGTGGTCAGCAAGGTTTAATTACCGCTTTTAAACTACAAATTAGCCATGATTTTTCTCGAATGCTCATATCTGCGCGAAGCGTATCTTAACGCAAGCAAATGACATCATTTATTATGAAATGGATTGTTTTTTTTTTTGTTTTGTTTTGTTTTTTTTTGTTTTTTTAAGCATTTCACCCCAAGCAAGGCGGGAAGCCACTAGGACGCAAGGGGTTACAGAAAATTTATAGCAAGATCAGATAGGAGTGATAGAAGAAAGGATGAGGGTAGTGAATAGATCAAAGCAACTGGAGATGTCGATTGACATTACACTTGAATAGCTGGAGATTATAGCTCACAGGGAAACAGGAATAGGGAAGGGAGTTCTACAGGCGAGAGGTGCGAGACATGAAGCTATTAGAGTAGAAGAGACGGCTATATTTAGGAGTTTCGACAGTGAAGGGGTGAGAGCAGGATGCCAGCCTCGTAAGGCGCTGGAACTCATGACGTCTGGGAACCAGCGAATGCAACTCCTCGGAGTAATTTCCATGAAAGTATTTGTAGAACAGACAGAGGGAGGCGACAGCACGTCTGTGAGAAAGTGACTGTATACGAGACGCCAGGGCAGGGCCAACTACATTGTATATCCGCTTCTGGATCCTATCAAGGACCCCGTTGTTGATCCGGTTGGTTGGTTGGTTGGTTGTTGATCCGGTCGTCTGGATAAAAAAATTTAAAACCCCCTTGACTTGTTTTATGAATCTATGCCAGTCTCTTCATATCTATTTCTCTATCTATCTCATTCTGTTCCTATGCACCCGTTCACCGATTGAGCACTATGTTGAAATGGGAATTTTTTAACGGCTGCTGCTATTTTAATGCATCGCTCTTCGTAAGAATTGAGCAGTATGGCAGACGGTATGGCGTTTATATATCACATATATAATGCGTTAAAAATTTCATTTTCATTCTCGTGTGCTAATAGCCTAGGGGTAAGAGTCTCTGACTAATATCAAATTGGTCGAGTTTCGATTCTGGCTTGAAGCAAGTCACACTGATGAGCTGTGGATGACTATATTCAGTCAACGACGAAATTACTGGTACACCCATCAACTTTAAATATTTTTATTATCGATTTCTCAGAATCTAATGCCCGTATGATGCCAGTTTTTTTATATGTAATAAGCACAAAAAATGAATATAAAACTCAATTTTCAGAACAATAGTTTGTACAATATATTTGACAGGCGAATTATGCAAAATAGAAAAAGACGAAATTATTCGCGCAATATGAAAAATAGAAAAACTTGAACGATCTTCACAATATTAATAGTCAATAGCATTATAACTTGCTGAAATCATTTTCTAAAGTTTTTGATGAGATTTGAACAAGGCTTTTCTGTGATTTTCTTCCATTTTTTAATGGTTGCACGTTCTAATTCCTGAAGGTTTATTGTGACCGGCGATTTATTCGAACTTCCAATTCTTGCCATAGATTTTCAATAGGATTCAAGTCCGAACTCATTGAAGGCCATGGCATCTGCTGCTTCTGAAGCCCCGCAGTCACTGATTTAGACGTATTTTGGGGATAATTATCTTGCTGGAAAGTAAATCGCCGACTTAGATGAACGTTATGCGCTGATAATTGTAGCTTTCTTCCAGAATTTTGATGTAGTCTGCAGATTTCATTCTTCCTCTTATTGCAAATTGTCCAGTCACCCTTGAGCTAAAACAACCTCAAAATGTTTTAATGTTGCCACTGTGTTATTTGGGAGGAAAGCCTCTCATTTCTTGCGTCAAACCCTCTGTACACCATTAGGTCCTAAAAGCTTAATTTTTGTTTCATCACTCCATAGTACTTGTTCCCAAAAGCAACTTTCTTTGTCCAAGAACGTTTTGGCAAAATTACACCGAGCAACAATGTGAGATACGTTTATCGTGGTCGGTTTTCCATACAACCCATTTCTATTTAAACATCGTTGTATGTATTTTGCGAGTACTTATGCTGAAACCCATCGTATCTAAACTTTTTGCGATGTCTTTCAAAACAATTCTTGGGTTTATATTAACCTTACGACACAGTTTTCGTGCAGTTCTCGGCAATAATATGGGTTTTCTTCCACGCCCAGGCAATTTCTCTGTAATACCAAACTGTTTATAACGGATTTTACCTTAGATCTAGGGATAGCTAACCGGTTTGAAATAGAGCTGTATCTATTTCCCGACTTGTGGAAGTTAATAATTCTCTGTCTCAAGTCAATGCTAGGCTCCTTTGTCTTCCCCATCGTCTTGTTAACGAAAGAATAAGAATGGTGACACTCCATGCAATATTTGGTGTTCTTTGCTGGAATTATCACAAATTGTCTACTGAATAAATAGTCTAGAAGTCTTCAGCGATAAAATAATTATGTAAATTACTTATATTTACATGAATCAATCAATTTAAAAAGATATTTTTCTGCTGTATAATTTTGTCTTTTCCTATTTTGCATAATTCACCTGTCAACTTTGTTATATTTAACCTATTGCTCTGAAAACGGAGTTTTATATTCCTTTTTTGTGCTCATAAAACCTGGTATCATACGGGTATTAGATTCTGGGAAATGAATAAAAAATATTCAAAATTGATGAGTGTACGAATAATTTTGTCGTTGACTATACACACACACACACACACACACACACACACACACACGCATGCATATCTGTGTCTTTATCTCAGTCTGTTTATATCTATCAGTCATTCTATTCATATATATGTCTATTTATTAATATTAATTTATCTTCACTACCTATTCTAGTCTATTCATGTATGTTTGTTTATATGTCTGTCGGTCAGTCTATATTACTCTGTTTATCTATATATCCTCTTGTCTGTCTCATACTGTTTATATCTGTATGTCTCTTCATATCTATCTATATCAGTCTAACTATGTCTATATTTTTATCTCTCTCAGTCTGTTCACGCCTGTCTCAGTCTGAGTAAGAATCCAAATGCAAATACGAAAACAAATTCCTACTCCGATAACTACAACCACATTATTAACAACATAGACTAAATAAAATATTTACTTGGTTTGAAATTTAAAAATCATTCTATAAATAATATTTAGTGTTTCAAATAATAGCAAAATTCGAATGTATGTCTCGTCATATCTCCTCTTGTCTGTCTCATACTGTTTATATCTG